AAAAATAAAGTGATACTGGAAGGATTTAAACTCAGTGCAGAAGGACTCAGACTGTCATGCACTGCAAATTTAATATACATATATCCAATTCAAGTTTTTCTAATAAACTTGTAGGTGTTTACTCAAACTAATTGTATTTTCCATCATCCCACAGGAGTGTACTTTTCTTCTTTTAATTGTGTAGTCTTACATTTTATACACTCTTTAAGTATATTTTAATTATTAACTCCTTTATTTTTAGTGTATTATTTTCCCACTATAAATTCTCTATTTTACTCATATAAGAAAATATAGTTGCACTGACACTCTTAGTATTAGTGGTCAACTGTTTGAGTAGACATACTTAAATTTCATTATTGTAGTTACTTGTAAAACAGTATGTTTTTTACATTCAGAATAGAAATGCCTTACCCTTTCTTCTATTTCTGGCTTTCACTTCTTTATGTTCCTTAGGCTTTGTCCTTTTTTCTTCTCCAGATTCTCCATCACTCACAGTTAGTTTATGCCTCAAGAGCCTATGTCTGTATCTTGGCTTCTTAGATTCTTCAGAATCTGAATCTGATTCAGAATTGACCTGATTTTTTCCTTCTAAATGAAGAAAACACCAATAAGATATTCAGCATCTTTAGATTTTACATTATAAATTTGTCTATTGACAATTACCATAATTTATGGACATTATCAGAGCTGTACAAATACCAAAGTAGAGTATATTTGGCATCACTGGTAACAGTTCACCTTACATATTAAACTTAATATCACCATTATTGAATATTTACCAAGTATCACCCATGTATATCACTTTAGTCTTTTTACATAAAAATCATGCTCATTGGCACTGACAAAACTAGATTAACTATCACAATTATTACAAGATACTCAAAGGAATAATGATAATAAAGTTGCAAACTTTTCTTCTGCGATACTGGAGATCAAACCTAAGACATCATATATGCTAGGCAAGTGCTCCTCCACTGAAATACATGCCCAAGGCCTTATACATTTTAATAAACTTCATTTTCTTTAAACTTTAAATGTATGCATTAATTAATAGGCTTCAGATATTCTTCAAAGACTGAACTCATCAAGAAAGCCAATTACGACATCCTCTACTTCTCTTGGGGAGCTCACCCTCATCTCCTGCGTTCTCTTCATTTTGTTTTCCAGCTCTTTTTTTCCCTTCTTCTGATTCATCATCTGAAGATCCATCCTCATCAGAGGAAAGATTCGCTTTAATTTCTTCTAAAAGCATCTTCTTGGCAATTCTTAAGAGTAAAAAAAACAAAAAACAAAAAACAAAAAAACAAAAAACTACATATATACCAAATTAAAAACAAGAACAGAATTCTCTGTATCAAAATACTAACACACATGTCAAATTGCAGATTTTATACTGTAATTAAGAGACTGGCCAAAATACTTTAACCAAAGGTATCAACAAACACTTGTGAAAATGTTACTTGTACTTTTATTTTTTAATTCTATATAATTTCCCAATATACTGGAGAATCTCAAAGAAATAGTCCATTGACTGTTTTGACCAATTACAACTTGATACTGGGTAACCTACCAATGTGACATTTGCTGTTGCCATTATCCAATAAATACAATGTCAGTTCAACAAAAGTAAATCTGTTTATCTAGACAAATGGCATTCCTAGAGAAAACTCCAACAGGAGGTGACATATCCAACAACAAAACGCATTTTGGACTAGCAGCACATAATAAACCACTCTAGTATGAAACAGTGTCTCAAAACGTAGAATAACATTTTTGGACCTTAATTTCTATTTACTTCACAAATCTATTAACCAGCTAAAACAACACCAAGTATTGAAGTACTCAGGAACCTCTAACAATATTCAAGATAGGGGAGAAAAGAAAAGGGACATGCGCACCATTAATTACAAACATGGTAAAACAACGTAAGTTACTACAAACGAGTTTTTTTCAAAAAGATAGTGCAATAGCTTCACTCAAATCAAAATTTCTCAAAATGTTTCCCAAACACCAACTCATGAATAGAAAAGGCAACTGCTAAAAGAATAAGATATTTCTTTTACTAATACCATCATATGTTAAAAATGTTTCTTAAAAAATTCCATGTTCCTTGTTTGCACTAAAAAAAAGTTGCCTGAAAATGTAAACGAAAAGCAATCATAAAAAAACGTGTAAGACAATGAGTTTGATTATTCTGGGTGTCCTTTGCTATAAATTCATAAATCACAGTAGCAAAGGGATAAAAAGGCACAGGGAAAAGGTGAAAATGTTTTAGCAGTTTACCATAAGCTAACTTTTATAGGCTAAACATCTACTCTGCAATCAAAACTGATTAGCATAATCAGAATCTTATAACTGTGCTATGTTTTAAATCTGAAATGTATACCAAAAGCCTGAGGTCAGAGGTGGGGACTGAGCAGAAGAGGCAGGTCACTTGGGACATGATCATGAAGGGTACATTTTGCCTGTCTCTTCTCATCTCTCCTTCCTAGCTGTCCTGGATTAAGCAGCTGTTTGCTGGCATACACTCTAAACATGCCATTCCTGGAATGAACCCACTAAAACTATGAGCTAAATCTCTCTTCTGTTAAGCTGTGAGTTTCAGATATTGTATCCCAATGATGGGAGAGCCAACACAGAAAACTGGAATGGTACTGGGACTGTTGCCTAACCATGTAGTTTAAAGGCCTTTCAAAACAGTATGTGAAGGTTTGAAGAGGCTGGCTAGAGAAGCCCTAGCACGCTACAAGCCAAGCTAGATGGGTGGTTCTGGCTGCACTGCAGAAGGCCAGAAAGCTGATAAAGAGAAACAATAAGGATCAGGCTCATGAGGTTTCATATGGAAATAAGGACTACACTGAAAACTGGAATAGAGGTCATGTGTGTTTTATTCTGGGAAAAATTGTGTTTTCTCTGTATACAATGACTGTATGGATTTGTTTTGTTTTGTTTTGTGTTTTGGTTTTTTGAGACAGGGTCTTGCCCAGGTTGGTCCTGAACTCACTAAGTAGCTCAGGCTAGCCTCAAATTCATGGTGATCCTGCTTCAGTCTCCCAAATGCTGGGATTGTAAGAGTGTATCATCATGCCCAGCCTTGTGAGGCTAAATTTAAAAGGTGACACACTAAGAGATCTCACAGAGAAAATTTCATTCAGTCTGTGGCACAGTTATTTTTTTGCTACAGTCAGCCAGATCTACAGTGAGAATCCAGAACAGTGAGTCCAAGGCCAACCTAAACTACATAGTGAAAACCTGTCTCAAGAAGACCATAATAACAATAATAATAATAATAATAATAATAATAATATTTTTGAAAAATAAAAAAATCAAACAAACAAAATCAATAGAGCTGAATGATTTGAAGTTAGCAGCTTAGCTCCAAAGGAGGAAGTACAAATAAAATTGAGAGTAGGATAACAGCACTGCTAAAACAATTAACATTTTTCAAAAGCCAAGTACTTTGCATCAAAAAAATAGAAAAATGCTTGAGGGCATACACATCACAGGTTAAAGGATATAAAATGGTAAACTCCTTTGAAAGATTTTCTTTTGAGATCAGCGCTCCAGGGCATCCTCTTCATTAAGGACCTCCTAGGGAACTGTACCCCTGATGGCGGCAATTCAAGTTCTCAGAGACCGCTACAGGCCTAATGGGGTCCAGCTGCACAGGCTCTAGTATTATGCATGTTTCTGGTTTCTCAAGCATACAAAATGCAAGAGTTATAGGGCCACAGAGGCTTTTATACCAATTTCAAAAGGCATGGATGGCCAGGCAAAATTGTGCAACAGGTCAAATGCCCTGCTGAAGTCCCTGAGTGGGCAATGCTTAAAGCTATGAGAGTAAAAACAAAGCTGCAGTAGCGCCTCCCAAAATGTTAAGAAATGCAAGGAATGTGGAAAGTCATCTGAGGAAAACTACTGCAATGCTACTTCAAGAAAGATGCCATGTAGGCTACAACCAGTAGGACAACAGGGGTGGTGATTCCCCAAGCTCTACAGGAATGTACATCTTACCACGAACTGCCATAACTGATAGGCATATTGCTACAGGACTTAATGTGTGCTCTGTTCATTTTGGTCTTGCTTTAGTCTATCCCCCCATTCCTCCCTTTTGGAATCAAAATGACTATTCTTTCTCATTGTATGTTGAAATTATTTTAACATTCTTTTCAATTTTCACTGGAGTTGACAACTCAGGATTGTAGGGCAACTCTGGACTTTGACTTTTCAGCAATGCTAAAACTGTTAAAGACTTTGGTGTCTCTTAGAGACGGACTAAGTTCATTGTATATAATGAGATGCGCAAGAGCCTTTTAGAACCCTGGGCTGGAATGTTACAGTTGAGATCTAAAATATCTTCAAAGTCTCCTGTGTTTAGAGGTAGGGCCTGATCCAAACAGGCAAGGTCACTGGAGGCATAACCTGGAAGAATATATTATTTGTCCCTGCTCTCTTCCTGATTGCCACATGTTGAGCAGTTTTTCTGCCTTGGTGCCAGACAACCATGGAATGAATCCACTGAAAACGTGAACCACATTAAACTTCTCCTACCTTAAATTGTGTGTATCAGGTATTGTTTCCCAGAGACAGGTAAGGTGATGAATACAAGCAGAGATCATGAAACCTCTGTTATTTCTGGATTAGAAACCCCTCTTTATATTCCCTACCACACATTCACATTTCAATCAATGGTGGCATGGTGGTGCACATCTGTAAATATCAGCACTCAGGAGGATGAGGCAGGAGGACTGCTGCAAGTTCAAGGCCAGCCTAGGCTACAAAGTGAGTTCAAGGCCAGTCTGAACTGCATAAGGAAATCCTGTCTCTAATACACCAAAAAAGAATTCATTCAACTGTAGAGATATTAATACATGTTAAGGCCTCCTCGGTTGTGACAGATGGAATGTACACTGCTATATTTAAAGATGAAGAGCGAAGGTACTCAACAGATTTAAAACACGCCAAACACTTACATAAAGGTTTACTCATATATCTTTTTGCACTTTCTCCTTCAAACAGATGGATCAGAAAAATTTATAAAACAAAGAGAATCGCTACAAAAAGAAGGATGCAGATGAGTGTGTTTTTAAATGATTTCTGCCCTGATCTGTCTCCCAAGAAAGTAGAAACTAGATCATACAAATTTAAGTCTTACTGGAATTGAACTCCAAAATTACTTGCTCATATATCTCTTGATGAATTGAATTAGAATGTATATACTAGTACACATCTTTTAAATGAGAATGTAGTTACAGCTTTTGATTTTACCAGCAAATTTAAATCAAATCACTCGAATAAAATATCACATTATAAAATAAAGAATATTCCCAAGGTGAGCAAGATAGCACACATTTGTAATCTTAATCAGGAGATGGGGGCCAGAAAATCGAAAGTCCCACATCAGTGTATGAAACTTAGAAAGACCCTACCTCAAAGCATTTTTTAAAAGGTTGGGAATATAGCTTAGTGGTAAGGGTTTACACCTCACACATGTGGGCCCCTGGCATCAATCTCCATGGCCAAATTAAAAATACATATAGTATCAACACATCCTCCCAAATCAAGACACAGTTTCAAAATAAAGGGAAGTCTTTTAAAGTATCTCTCTGGACAAAAATCTCTAAAATAATCACCAATATAAAGTATATTGTTATTTTTTATTGACCGTAAAAAACTTTCTCCACTATTTTCATAGCACATAAAATAAAATGTGTGAATTCTTACATATTAGGTTAGAAATGTAAAAACAACAGTTCACTTGCAGTTTCAAAAAATCTTATCATTTGGATAGGATAATGAAGAGTCAACAAAACTTTATGTCAAATCTAGTTATTCTAAATATTACCAGAATAATCTCATTTGTTTGTGTTCATAAAATCCAAAGTCTAAAAATTCTAGAGTAGCAGCCAGGTGTGGTAGCACCCACCTGTAATCCTAGTACACAGGAAGCTGAGATACAAGGAACACTGAGTTCAAGAACACCTGCGCCACACAGTGAGTTCAAGGCCAGTCTGAACTACATAGTGAGACCCTGTCTAAAAAAAAAGCTTTAGGGGAGCCAGTGAGATGGCTCAGTAGAATAAGTGCTTGCCTGGCAAGCGCAAGGGCCTGAGTTCAATCCCCGGTTCTGCTCAAAAAAGAAAGCTTTAGGGCTGGCCAAGTAGCTCAGCAGATTAAAGTGCCTAACCAGGCACAGGGGCCAGGGGTTCAATCTCTAGGCCTGCCATACCAGCACCTCGTACCAGCCCAGCCCGCAGGGTGCACT